CAGCAGGCTTCGGTGAAGGGACCGAGCTGTTGTGCCGATGGGACTATGATGCATGTAGGTTGCATAGGATACCACCCCCCCACCCCCCACCGCGACCGACTTTTAAAGCAGCGGCGACGGTGCCGAAAATTGCGACGTTGGAACCCTCTCGACTAAAAGGTTTTCCGAAAACGTGGTACATATCACTTCGATGTCTTTGTTGTGGAGTAATCGAGAAATGAACATCTGTTATCCTCCGTCATGCCACGTACGGCAATATAGGGAACGGTGGCGCCGTTCACGTCGTCGTAGGGGGCAGGCAAGGAGGAGGTGGTAGATGGGTCCATCTGGGAAATATGGCGAGGGGGGGAGAAATAAAACGATCAGCACAGCAGCCCATGTCATCTTGTGGGTATGAGGATTCTTCCCCCCCCGGGGGAGGTCATGTATATGAGGCGAAATGGTGGTGAGCTTAAAGCACAACAACAATCAATCGCGTTCGCATGGCTCTTGTATAAAGTTTTTGTAAGGCGGGGTGTGTCGCGTTGACCAGCTTCTGCGGTGGTGGGAGAGACACTTTTTTTGCTGTATTCTTCGCTAGTTCCAAGGGGGGGGGAGGCGTGGTTCATCACAACATATTTTGTGTGTGAAATAAGGTCTTCCGGTACTGTCATAGATGTGATCGGTTGCGAAGCGAGAACGACTTCCTTGTGTGTTCCGTAGAGGAGCTGGATTTTGCGACGTATGGGATCCAAGCGAAAAATTGGCGAAACACTCGGTCACTTGCTTTATCATGTGTTTTCGTTTTTGTAATGAGGCGCGCACGCGATAGGGGGGGGGGGGGGGGGTACACGCTCCTTCGTAGTACGTGTGGAGTTGAATGCATGGAGCAAGCCTTCTCTGAAATGGGTGCGTGTTTCGATTCGAAGAATAGTACAGGCGTGACCAGCTTTGACCACTCTCGTGTAGTATTTTGTTTTGTCTTGATGAAGTGGGGGGGGGGTGTACTCATAGTCGTGCATGCCGTAGTCGTTTGACCATTGACCTCGCATCCCTACAAAGCCGGGACGGAGCACGCCGGGTTCTCACCGGACCAGGCTCTCACATCACCAAGCGCGAAGCGCCGTGAGGTATTTGGCGAGTCGCAGGGGGGTAGATTGGGTTGCATACCTTCAGGGATGTTTCGTGCTGGTGTATTGAGAACACGGGTCATCAATGCCGGCTGTAAGTTGACGGGATGTACGGGTTTGGCTATAGCTGCCACGAACACAGTTTCTCCAGACGATAACGCCGCCGCCGGATTTATGAAACATTCCAGCGCTGACGGAATCACGCTTTAGCTTTTGGGCGCCAGGCGTGTTTTTCACGAAAACCACGAGTCAACAATGCCGTCTACGAGTTAACATTGCGTAATCCTACGCATACACGTCTGAGATCGGAATGGCTCTCACGCCCGCGGTTATCGGTACGCCTTGCGAGCGCCGTCCTACTAATCTAATCAGTCTTTCGATGCAGGCTTATGCTTCACGACAACCCACAAACGTCAGCTCGGTACGTGCAGTCAGTCATTTTCACTCAGCGTTCGCGGAGTACATTTTTCGCAGAATACCTTCTTCCCGCGCAAGTCTTGTTCGGAACCCAGGCCAGTTGGTGTTGATTCAGACATACGTAAACGTGGAATACGCAATGACCAAAAAAAAGTCAAGACTCGTGAACGAAACGATGGCACGTACTACGTGATGTTTCCAACCATCAGTGACGAGGACGCGCTTTTTCAGGTGGTGTCAGCGTCGTAGCAGGTATCTTCCGGCCTCCACGACCGTCATCACGTGCACAACAAGTGTTGGAAACGACTTCGTTCGGGTGTTCTGCGAATGCACCATTGTACATTCTCATGATGTGGAGCAGATTATTATTGTTCGCTCCACCTAACCAATAACACACCTTGCCGTTGTTGTTTGTTTCACCCAAGCTCCCCCCCCCCGTGGAAAAAAGAGGTGGGGAAAAAGAAGACTTGGACAACTCTTCGTACTGCCAGGTAAATGCTACAAGTAAGGCAGGGTTGCGTATGCAAAATTTCATTCTCTTTCACATAGATAGCCCGACCATGAGTGAGCCATCGCAACCATTTTTTTTTTTTTCTTAATATGACACAACGAATCCATCTCTATCATAGAAAAGAGTCTGAGACAGATTAGCAATGAATTCATAGCGTCAGAAAGTACCTGTCTGTGTCTACGGTTTCCCAGACAGCATAATATATATATATATATATAGGGACATCTCTCCTGCGGGTAACAGGCTCAACAAGACAGTTTGGTAGCTGTCTTGTGTGTCTCATATATGTTATGTTGGGAAATCGCAAACATTTTTTCCATCGGTCTGTGTAGCGCCATCCAACGCACAACATGGCTGCGTGCCTACAGTATAGTCTGGTACTGTTTTTTCCGTGTTCTCGGCTTGCGCGCAATACGTTCCATCTGGGTCGGGCCCTACTGCTGTAGCGCTGTGGTGTTGCACCGTGGTAAGGATGAGAGGTGATTTGGGTCCCACGCGTGAACGCGGGGCACTGAAGAGTAGGCAAACGTACATGTACGTACACGAAGGCAGAGAGAGTGTTTTTGCTCGCCGTGTGTGTGCTTGGCGAGGTGAGGCTCGTTCGTGCGCAGCAGCAGGACAAATCGATCAATCAATGTGGTGATCAGAATTGATTGGTGCGGACGAGTTGTTCGATGGCAAGGGAGGAAAAAAGTCAGGCTTCAAGAAGCTGGCACACACACGCAGGTGCTCATCTACTTGTACCCTCGTAAATGAGTACTGCACTGAGTACCATGCGATTTATTATATGTTATAGTGTACGTGGGAGCCGGTAAACGAGGCCTGTACCCGTGGTCATGGTGGATACGGATCTTTCCGCGGGTCTGTGTACTACAGCAGTCTTCTGCCCTCTGGATGATCGAGTGATTTGAAAATCGAGGAATAAGCTGCAACATTCGCGGCAGCAGCTGCGGCAAGCTGCTGCTGCCGCTTCTGGTGCTGCCGCTTCTGGTGCTACCACCGCTGCTGCTTAGCACACCACGCCCTTCAATCCTTTTCGTTCCCATTCCTGTGCAGACATGGGGGGTCCGCGAACCGGCCAATATTGTTTCGTTAGCCGGGCGGGTGCACCCTTGGTTGCTCCGAATTGTTTTTCACGGTATGAACCTTCCGACAGAGACAACAGCAGGCGGCTGCAGCAGAGAGCCAAACAGAGAGAGGCGGAGAGCGGTAGACGCCGCACCTACTGTGGTGCGTGTTGCCTGGTTGCAGTCATGTTTCTGCCCAGAGCAGCAGGCGCCTTCATGGCGGAGAGCGGCAAGGTCGACGATGAGTCGCTGAGCAAGGAGGCACCGACCAAGTGTCCCAACTACAACGTCGAGGACCCGACGCGACGCATATGGGTTTTCACCACGGCAAGGTCTGTTTAGGAGGGTGTGCGTTCGTTGCGGCAGTAGTGTGGCGTGCTATTGTTGATTTGCGGCAGACTCGTGGTTTCATCATTCGGTTCGGGGAACAGCCTTAGCTGCCCGAATTGTCTGTTCCGTTCTCACACCGGACGACAACGGCGTCCACAAGGGCGATCCCGAAACGGCAGCTTTTTCTCCGCACACGCGCAATCACCTGCCTACACCCTACGCCTTTACACCCCACCGCACCTTTGCACTCAGCTACTCAGCCTTGTTCATCCTCTCCCCTCTCACATCTAACATAGTTCGTTCTCTCGCGTTGGGCTTGCATGTAGTCTCAGCACATGTTGAAACGGTGAAAACTGGACATTTACCTGTGTACACAATTGTCCTTCGTAATCTCGGGAAGGGAGTCGGTAACACCGGCAGAACACAACAATGGCGTCACCAGGGCCCGGCACACACTCGAAAACATACTCTTGACAGAATATTTTGGAGTGTATGCCGCACCCAAGGGTGACCGGATTGTGTTTTGGCGCTGTCATTGACCTCCCTCCTCTCCGAACCTCCGAATCTGAGATTCCGAAGAAAAGGAGAACTGACCTCGCATCTACGCCACTCAAGAATTAGCTGATATGCATCCTGAAATGGACCTGATAAATCCGCTGTTACAAAATAATTTACACAGCCGTTGCTGCTGCTACGACAAGGGTCAACCCTACGTCAAGACATGAACAACTTGGATTAGCAGTCTCGCAACAATAGCAACGTCGACACAGAGAAAAACTTTATTCGGACATCATTTTGACTGCATTGTGGAATTGTCATCGACCACAAGGTGGAGGTACCAATGTTGCACGTCGTTGAGACTTGACAAGTCTCAGGCAGTCATCAGTTTCTTGCTGGCATCAGTTTTTGTGGGTTACTGGTAACCAAGGGTTTGTCGGCAGCACCGCACGGCGTGTTCCCTTCCACGAGTAGGCCGAGAAAGAGTTAAGAGTTTGTCGGCTGTACCGTACCGTACCGCGATTCCGTTGGAGGGAAACACAGTCGTGGTCCCGGTTTAGCGGTTCCATTTTCGGCGCGATGCCAAGCGGTTCCAAAATCTCGTGGCACAACTGCACCTCGGTAGTCAAACTATTGTACTACTCGAGTACTGCGGAGTAGTAACTGCCGATCCGGTTTAGCGCCTATGCCCTCAATAGCCGTGATGGTTTTCTTTTTGACGCTATGGACCGCTAAACCGGGACCACGACCGCTCACCCTTACTAGAATCTTCGAACCCTTCGCTTGTGCGTTTGTGTGTCGTGCAGCTTGCCGTGGATGACGGGCACCGCTGTGAACCCTCTGCTACGGGCGGCTTACCTCACTCGGGGACGCGACAAGGGGAAGGTGAGCAGTGGCGGCACACAAGTCTCCTCTTTCAATATAATTTGAAGCTTGTACTTGTACAGCAGCATTTTTGTAAGGTACTGCTTTGAATTATGAAACGTCAGCACAAAGAGCGATGTCGTCGACAACACCAACGCCGACAACGAAGAGTCGCGTGCGCGCCCAGGTTACGCTAGGGGTGCCGTGGCTTGTGGACGAGGACCAGGAGAAGGTCTACCCCAAGGGGAAGAGATATGCAGCCAAGGAAGATCAGGTGCGATTGAAAACCCCAACTGCAGTAAAAAACCTACCCAATGTTGAAGGGTAGAATCTTTTCTTGGGCAATTCTTGTGTATGCTCCTGTGCATGCGAGCTTTGCGCCCAAGCATCAAGTCGACGATGATCACGTGCTGTCGCCTCTTCTCGAAGTCTGCCAGCGCCTGCTGTAGCTGCTACCGGCCGGTAGCGGTGGTGGGGCTGACATGTGTAGCAGCTGTTGTCTACAAGAGCTACCGTACCTGCTGCGGCCATCATTGCTGTTGCTCTAAACCGCTTTTGCCGCTACTTCTGCTGCGGCTACTGCTACCGCTGCTACTGCTGCTGCTGCTGCTGCTGCTGCTGCTGCTGCTGCTACTGCTACTGCTGCCACCACCGCCGCCACTGCTGCTGCTACTCGCGGGGTGGTTTCCACTCTCCGTGGCAGGAGGCTTACGTTCGCGAGTGGCTCGTCAAGGCGGGCCTCGAGGAAGAGTCCAAGAAACTCGACATTTTGTTCTACCCAGCGAGGTACCACGAGCAGTTCGGGTCCATCTTCCCCATGGGAGACCTCGCGGCGCAGGTGGGGCATGATTCTTCCAGGATGGTTTCTAGGGACGATGGGGAGTAAGAAGTGCTCGGGGGGGAGGGTAAACACGTTCGATTTTGTTTGCTGTTGGGTGTGATGTGAAGACGTGACCCGAAGAATCGGTGGTTTGGTTGGGTTGATGCCAGCAGGTGTTGGAGGTCTGTTCTTTTGTCTTGTGTTGATTCACTGCAACATCCGGATTCTGCGAAACGCTGGGCCAAGTTGTATGTTTTGCCCGCGATGTTGGCGAAGATATACCGCACGTGAAACCATCGCTTAGTGTTGCTGACACCGCCTCTCTCTTTGCTGCACGTGTCCATACACTAACGTTCGCTCCTGCGTAGTCGCCGTTCTCTCCTCGTGTAGGCGTCGTGCTGATACCCTGGGCGTTTGGATGTCTCCACACCTCTACCTTGGTCAGAACGAAAACACACCCCTCCCCGTACTTGAGTCGGTCGATTCCTTCTGCGATATTTTCTTGGTGGACTGCACCTGATCTTGCTCGCCCCCCCCCCCCTCCCCCCTGTCAGGCCGGTCCCACCCCGACTGAACCAGGGTTGAACACTATCAATACTGCTGTACTCGTACCCTTTGTTTGTATTTTGTTTTGCCTTTTTGTTTGACTCAAAAGGCTCCCGACGAAGAGGCTGACGTAGCGGTGCTCGAGGAGCCGGAGCATCTCAACTTCTTCAGGGCGGAGGGTGTTCCATGGCTCAACAAATTCAAGTGAGAAGAACCGCACACAGCTGTAGCATGGCACCTTGGACCACGGAGATGCGGTTTTCACCAGATTTGGCATGGAATGGCACCGCTGCCCGTTGTATCGGGAGGGGTTTGCATGTGCGCGTGAATAAAGACCGAGGATGGGTCTCTCTGCCAAACGCTTGACGACAGGCAGCGGTATTTTTTATGAAATCGCCGGGGGAAAGACATGACGTGCGTCAAAGTACCGTTGCTTGCTTAGGAAACACGTGGTTGGCGCGATTTACCCGAAGGAATCTCACATCCACTTACACGAGCCCGCACAAGCCAAGCCGCTCTACCGCCAGGACTGACAAATTCGCCTCCATACCGTAGGTTGCGTAAGATATCGCACCCCCTGGCACTATTTCCAAAGTTGTATTACTCGGGGTAGCAGTGACGGTGCTAAACATGGCGGAATCGGAGACGTGGCGTCGAGAGCTTTCCAAACACGTATCGTATGCCTTCGGCATCTTGGTCGGGGAGGAATCGGACTTTGAAAATCGGTCAGGGGGCGTGGTATCTTATGCATCCTATGATATACGCGCGGCCCGAATGTACCACTGCCCCGTTTCCACCGCCCCTACAAGCGGGGTTGTTCGCAGGACGGAAGAGACTGACTCCGGAAAACGCCTTGCGGCGGTTTGGGATGCCGCCAAGCGAATGTAGTAAACCCAATACTGGTATCGTTACCGCACCGTCCTTGAAGAGGGTGCGATTGCATGTCAACGGTCGCATGCGTCACAGCGGGTATCGCTCGCTTGGCCCTCTCTCTCTATCCATTTCTCTTGCATCATTTCTCTTTTCTTCCGTCCTCCCCTGTTCTGGTTCAGCCTCGTGAAACGTAACCTCGGCCGGCGAAAGCACGGCATATCTCTCCTCCGTCCCCGGGGGAATAGGGTGGTCGGTGGTTTCGAGGGCTGTGAGGGTCAATGATTGGGTGGGAGGGTCAGTGGCCTAACGACTACGGCGTGCGTTTACATGAGTACACCCCCCCCTGACCTCCTGCCCATCCAAATCCGCCCCGCCCCCCGCGACCCCAAAAGCTACGTGGTGGGTATCATCCACACCAACTACCAGTTCTACGCCCGGGGGGAGAAGCACGGCCGCGTGAAGAAGCCGATAGTGAAGGCGGCCTGCGCCTTCACGGTAAGGGCTCACTGCCACCGGATCATCAAGCTCTCCGACGCGCTGCAGGGCTATGCTCGGGAGAAGGAGATGGTGGAGAACGTGCACGGGGTGAGTGGGGGGGGGGGGGGGGGGAGCAGTGAGGGAGGGAGACCGGGAGGGTAGCTCTTGATTTGATGCTGTCTCTGTTTAGTGATGCATGGCTTGGGGTGATGTGTGCTGTGGTGTTTGCGGTTCCAACTGTCTGTCTGTCTGTCTGTCTGTCTGTCTGTCTGTCAGTCTGTCTGCCTGTCTGTGTATCTCTGTCTCCCTCTCACTCTCTCCTCTTTCTCTGTCTCCGTCTCCGTCTCCGTCTCTCCTCTCTCATTTTCTCTCGAAAATCCTCCCGAACCGCGACCCACCAGGTCAGGCCTCAATTCTTCGAGGTTGGGGACGAGGCTGTCAAAAACGGCTTCACGGGCGACGCGTACTTCATCGGCAAGGTAAGCCGCATCGTCGGCGCCACACCGTTTCAGTCTTCGAGCTTCAGGAGGATCTTCCTCGCGTCTCTCCTCGTCCTGTTCGATCTCTTTTCAACTCTCACGCTAAACGCTGGCTTTCTCGTTGTCCACCCACTACTTCCTACCGGCAGTTTGTCGAACCATCCAGCTATCGATAGCCCTTGCATGCGCCTCCGTTCGACCCGCACGACTCGAGTACCCCTGCTGCCGTTCCTCACCCCTGCCCCACCCGCAAGGTGCTGTGGACAAAAGGCATAGACATCCTGCTGGCGCTGATGCACAACGCTCGGAGCGCCAACACCGACGAGTCGGACGTCAAGCCGGACGCTATCGTTGCCGATGCCGCGACTGCCACCGCAGCAGCACCCGCCGATACCGACGGCACCGGTTCAAACGATCCACCACCGCCGCCACCGCCGCCGACGCCGTCATCGTCTTCCGTCAAAGAGGACGAAGCGGGGGGTGAGGAAGGGGGTGACGTCGGTGCCGGCGACAGCAGTCGAGGCGGTGCCGGCGGTGGCGGAGCCAAGCCCTTCCCGATCGTCATCTACGGCAACGGCAGCGACTTGGACGAGGTGTGCGCCGCCGTTTTCGTTTGCGTGCTTGAAACGGACGGACGTCTTGGCGAGGCGAAGGAGTCTGCATGTTGTCAGGGGGTTTATTAGGGGGGCGTTAATGGGAGTTCGTGCTGTTTTTTTTTTTTTTTTGACGGTTGACGACTCCTAAGAGCTACGAAACATTTTTCGTGTGCCTGCTTTTTTGTCTGTATCCCGCGACTGTTCGAACATCGGTGATGAATCCGTCTGTGGCTAGTCCAGTGGTTCTTGCTGTTTCGCTTCTGCGTCCCAATGCGTCCTACCATGACCTAGTCATCATTCGCGAGCATGGTTCCATACCCTTGTGGCATGTCTCTCAGGAGTCGAAGGATGCCTCGTTTCCAAAGCGATGAGAGATGTACCGCCCAATTTCTTTTGGGAGTATCAGAGTACGGTTACATACCCCGATGAAGGCCTGGGGGTTTGACTAAGTCCACGACAGCTTTGTCCAAGCGTCACAGAAACCACCCTGTACAGCACTGTCTTGCGTCGATTCTGTTGCAACCAACTTAGAGAGGTGAAGGTCTGTTCCAAGGAAAGGACAGTTAGTGACTTTCGCATGTTGCGATTGGTTGGTCGCCCCCACCCGTCTCAGGTGAAAGAGAAAGTCCAGGAGATGGACCTTCCGGTTAGCTTCCACGATGCGATCGACCACGCCGAGCTCGGGAGCTACAAGGTGATGACACTTCTTCCTCTTGCTCCGGCTGCTGTTGTGTGCGGCCTAAGCACGTGGAATGAAAAACTCACAACGTGAAGACCTCGCTTTGCTATTATAGTAGACCCTCTAGGCATCCTCAACCCAGGCCCTAGGTGTTCGAACCTCCCGTGTCTAAAGCAGCCATGAACGGACTTCTGCCCCTCCCCCCCCCCCCGACTGCATCACCCGGCTGCTGTGTTTAGGTCTTCGTTAACCCCAGCCAGAGCGAGGTCTTGTGCACCACGATCGCGGAGGCCCTGGCGATGGGGAAGTGGGTCGTCTGCGCCAGGCACCCTTCGAATGAGTTTTTCTTCAGCAACTTCGAGACGTGCCTGTCCTTCTCCGACGAGAGGGAGTTCCTCTCGTGCATGCAGAAGGCGTTGTCTGAAACACCCCCGAGACTGTCCGAAGAGACGAGGTGAGCATGCGCCCCGCCGTCTTTTTTTCCGCTTTTTTTTCCGCTTTTTTTGTTTTTTTCTTCTTCTTAATATGACACAACGAAACCATCTCTATCATAGAAAAGAGTCTGAGACAGATTAGCAATGGATTCATAGCGTCAGAAAGTACCTGTATGTCTACGATTTCCCAGACAGCATATAGGGACATCTCCCCTGCGGGTAACAGGCTCAACAAGACAGTTTGGTAGCTGTCTTGTGTGTCTCATATATGTTATGTTGGGAAGGTGCAGATGATATGTGTTAGGTACTGTTTTTTGTGTGTGTTTTGGCGCTGCTGCTCTACTGCTGTTTTGGGTGAAGATGGGCAGCATTTGTTTTTTCTCGCGCTTTGTGTTTTGGCGCTTGCTGCTGCTGCCGTTGCTGCTCTGCGGAGGTGAAGGTGCGCCGGATTTTGTTCCTCGCTTTGTTTTGCGTCGCCTGGTGCTGGTGCTGCTGCAAGCTGTTCCTGCTGCTGCTGCTGCTGCTGCTGCTCTGCTGCTACCGTTGCTGCTGTTATTTGACGCTGTCGTACCTTTGTTTGTTTTGTCTTTGCTTCGACCGCTACCCGTCACGCCCAATACGCCAGATACAGGTAATTTGATGCCGCCGCTTGCCGCCGTACTCTCCCTCTGTTTATTTTCTCCTCGTTTAGGCACAAGCTGAGCTGGGCGGCGGCGACGGACAGATTTATGGCTGCCGCTTCCAGGCCCGAGGTGAATCGATTTCCCCACATGCAGTACCCAATGATGTGTCATACTCGGAGTACTCGTTTTACACCAAATCACACATTCAAGGGTGTCGGAAAATATTACGACCAAGATTGTCGGAAAAAATAACACAATCACAACGAGTGTTGATGTCGTTCTGCAGTATTAGGCGTGTGTCAAAGATGGACGAGTTGATTATTGTCAACTTGCTGCCGTTGAACCCGTGTTTTTTTTTTTTTTTTTTTTTTTTTTTACTGCATCCATCCCAAGAAATAGCAGCTTTGCAAACCCCCTCGGAGTGGAAGGGAGTTCGGTCCACTTCGTCATCTCGGGAAGTTCTCTGATCCTCAAAACGGTGCCCACAGGTTCCTGGCCGCAACAACACGTCGAAATCTGCTAGAGGTTTGGCGAGGCTGGATAAGCTGCTCGCCGCGCTCCACCAGCACACCATGAAGGGGAAGCGGGGCGACCTCCTGCGCCAGGCGATGGGAGGGGGCCCCGTGGCGAAGCAGAATGTGCGTATGTGCGCACCACATGCCCTCGTTGTCGTCGTCCGTTCAAAGGTCGTTTCGTTGTTGTTACAGGTGTACGTACACGCGGGCGAAATTTCTTACAGCTCTCGCCTGTTTGCCAGCATGAAGTGCTTTCACCGTAACCCCTGTTGCGCCACGAATTGTCTGTGTCTGTATCATGGTTTATTCACCCAAGTGTGCCCCGTGGGGGGTTGTGGGACCAATGCATTCGATTGGAACTCCTCCAGAAGGGGCGGTTCGTTTTCTAACCGGCAGGCGGACTCTCTTTTAACACTGGACCCCTTCCCTACACGGACCTCGGTATCGCCCACCCTTTTGCTTTTTCCAGAGCTTTGTCAAGGGCACGGCAGCAGCAGCAGCAGCAGCAGCAGCAGCAGCAGCTGCTGCTGCTGCTGCTACACCCGCATCCGCATCCGCCGACACCAGCCCGAATGACGGTCAAGCCGTAGCCACCGAGGCAGCAGAAGCGGCAGCAGGCGGTGATCACAGCAGTAGTGGCGGCAGTACCGAAGCGGCTGCTGAAGTCGGAAATGTCTGATGATGCCGAGGAGGGAGGGCGGTCGTCTTATCGTCTTACCTTCCTTTGTCCAACACGTGTCTCTTTCGGACTGTTCGCGCGGTTTTTGCGATTTTTTTTTTTGTTTTTGGTCGTGGCATTTTAGCCTGACAAGGAAAGAGCGTACTGGGTATCCGATTGTAGATTACGCGAAGTCTTGCACTTACACCCAAGAGGCCTAAATGTGGTACGCCACCCTTCCACCCGTGTGGAGGGATTCGTGTGGTCGCCATTGTGTTTTCTGTTTCTTTTTCTTATTACCTTCCGTTTGCTCCGATTATTGAGTGCAGGATAGTGTACGAAAATGTTCGCGGCGCCCGTAAAGGCAAACCTGGTGAATTGTCTCCCTGATTTTCATAACTAGCGTCCTTCAGTTTTCAGCTACCATTGTACGTACATACGTACGTTGTTGTGGTTATCATAACTTCTTTGTTTGACGCTCTTGTGGTTCAGTAAACATCGACCCTATCCCTTGGTTGCGAGGAGAGGAACATGTCATGCCAACCGTGGTGTAGTACCTTCAGAGGAAAGTAAGGTACTGTAAAATGAGTAATTTATTGTAGATCTAGGATTCCTGCTGTATTTTTTTCATTCTTCCAGTATTGTGTGTGCCCCGAACGTTTTTTCCCAGCACAACCGCCTCCTCCGTGAAGTTCGCCCTTCTCATGACACCGCCATTAGTTGGCGTTTTTCAAGAGAACCACACTCGCGTACACCACACGTACCAGCAGCCACCGGCCTGATGGCTTGGGCTTGTACGAGGAGAGCAACTACTACCGAGGGTTGCGCATACGTATCAGGTAGTAGCCATCCTGATACTGTAGTGTCTTGTCCGGTTTGGATACTATCGTGTAACCGGTACAGCAGCATCCGCACCTTCACAGGCGTGGGCAAACTGGTCAACCCTGATGAAAGCGCCCCCGGCCCGTTCGAAACTACAATCACGTTCGGCGTGGTGGGGGCAACCCAGACAGGAAGGTCATTCGTTTGACTTGCAGACACCTATTTTTTTTTTATCTTCTTTACTTTTTAGAATGTCGTCCAGCGCCCCCTCCCCCCATCCTCCTCCCACAAGCTGCACACGACACGCCGAACACTTGGAGATGGTCCGAAACACCACTCGCTCGGACAGCAGTAATTCCGTATTATCTACTAGGTATGTACAAAGGTTACCGCCACAAGATTGTGCACTGTTGTTGCTCAGCCCATGGAACCTGCTGCCCCCGTACCGTCCCGCTGTTTCTAAGAATCACGACAGGTATTTATCCAAGACCACGACAAATCAATTCAATTAGAGTACCATACCACTAAGAACAAAAGAGAAAGGTTGGACACAGGGTGTCCTATGAAAGTAAGAGACGTAGTATATGAATAGGCGCGACAATCAACAAAGAACACTATCAAGCAGAGTGAAACATATTACAAACGAGTGAACATGTCACCGGTACGTACCCAACCAACCACGGACCCACCACGTTCATCACCCAAGCCCCCCCTCATCCATGCAACGAAAAATACACAGACAGCAGGTGTGCGCAGAACCTTACACAGCAGTACACGTGCGGGCGGAACCTCATCGCAACCCCCTAACCTGCCAGCCTTTGCACCTTGCTCATCCAACCTAACCAACCCTACGAAATAAAAAAAAACAGTACGATGCCCACAGCCCGCCCTGCCTACTACCGCCCTCCACGCTCACTCCCCGATCATTTGTACACATTACGAACATGACATGCACATGTTTGTGTTCTTGCGCTCCCCCCTACACACAAATAAATGCTGTTGACGCTCTCTACATAACACGCGGCTCCACCGAAAAATGTCTCTCGATTGATTTATGTATCCGCATGCACCGCCGTAAAAGTCGCAGAGCAAGCACGCACATACCTGTTGTGCGTTGCCCGGGCGACATTACTACATAACCCATCCATCCGCCATCGATGTCGAAATTGAAGGCGTCATGTTTTTTTCGCCGACCCGCCCCTGTGTGCCCTCCCACGTAATTACCGACTCAATGAAACCAGCTTCAACTACTAACCACTGCTGTGCACTACAGTACTTTGAAGGCAAGCAAAAACCGCAAGACAAAACAAAGAAAACATGCAAACTCCACTCCTTCTGTTACTCCTCCTGTATCTTACTGCGCATTTAATCATAGATGGATTGGACGTTCGAGGTTCGAGACGGTCATAGACTAACAATGCATCTATCTACCGAGCACCCAATCGAAAGGGGTACAGCAGCACAAGTGTCCATTCACTCAGGTCTCAAGTCACACTCGAACGACACACACACCCACACGATTTATTGCGCCGCGTTCTCCGCCCCACCCCCCCGTCCGCCATCGCCTCCTCCCACCGTCCGCCCATCCGTCTATCCATCCATGATGCGGCCCGGCACCATGTGGCGCTTAGAGTAAATCCGTTGGCAGGTCTGTCCGCTGCTGCCTCCAGCCGTCGACGTAGTCTGTGAGAAATGGGAACCGGATCGATAATTCGTCATGTCATGTGGAGAAAAAATAATTGCAGTCTCTTTCCGGCGCACCGGTATTTAGATAAATAAGCCACTCGTCCTCACTACACTCGTCCCCTCGCGTGTACCGTAGGTTGCACAAGATATCACACCCTCTGGACCGATTTTTATTGTTCGACTACTGCCTGTACTCCACGACGAAAATGATGCCGAAATCGAAGTACACATTTATTTTCGGAAACCTCTCGACGATACGGTTCCAACCCCTCCATTTTCGGCACCGTCACTGCTTTTCCTGCCGAGATATCGAGCTTCGGAAATCGGTCCAGGGGGTGTGATATCTTATGCAACCTGCGGTGTATCACAGCACCAAGTAGGTACTGCTGTGGGTCATGATCACGGGGCGGTATACTGCTGTATGCATCATCTATCTATACAGCAGTACATGTAGTCCTTTGTCCTCGACTGACTCAAGACTGACTGACTGCACGTGCGAAGGGCATGATATCTACTCTACGTTCCATCAACGGGGGGCATGCGGTGCGGTGCGTGAATGGATTCATTCATTCTCAGCAAGTGATCCCCGTGGTACGAACAGGCAGTCTTTTTGTGTGTGTATTTATTCTTCCTAACATACTGGACACATTCTATCCTGCTGTAAGATTCATTATGTGTCTTCCATCATGTGGAGCAAAAAATGACCAAAAGTCCGCCTGTTGCCGGGTTCTGTTCTGTTGTCCTGCCCTAAAAACCAGACAGAGCAAAAAAATGAAGGAAGGGTCTTGGAAGGGTAGCGAATCTGCCCGAGAGCCCGAGAATAGAGTCGGTGTCCTCCCGCAGCACACTGAACGATAACGGCAACGCGCGCGTGTCTGCCTCCCGGGGTTGATGATTTCTAGGTTTGTTTAGAGGAAGACCGGCTAGCAAGGAGAGACGGTTCGAAACCAACAGGATGGGAAAGCGTGACATATATGCGCAGGCTAACGATCAAAGGAACGGTGGGGTGGAATGAAGGCACAAGAGCGAAAAAAAAACACACAACACACACGTACTATGACAAGTGAGACACTTGTGACAAGTGAGACAGATGATCCCGATAGGTGGTGTGAAAGGGAACGCCTTATCCTTCTCACCAACAACTAGCGGCTATCGCAAGCCACAGTCAGGGCACGATGCATGCAGCGCACGCTCACGGGCGGTCCCGTACATAGGATTCCACACGCAATGTAACATGTAAAGGTCGGGTGAACTTTTTTCGCTCTCAAAAACCAGTATTAATAGGTCACCGGGCATCCCACCACATATTCCTAAAGTTTGAAAGTTTCGAGACACCAGGTTGTTGGGACGCGCATAGGTTGCACGGAAAAATCGCGGGCGCTGTGCGCCTACGCCAGTCCCCAGAGCGGCAGAGTCAAAACAAACAGGTCAGAAGTTCATAGAAGAGGGGTATAGCGCTATGCAGCAAATATCTCACTCACCGAAGGAAATAACCGTTGAGAGCTCCTCTCACTCTCACATTTCAAAGGGCTCAACGCACTGGTTGGTGGTTGAAATCCTGAACCTCTTCCCTCTGAGCAGCAAAGGGTCCGAGACATTTTGCGTACATGCGTCAGTACAACGTGGTCGTAGTACGAAGGATGGCGGGAATTAGCTGTTGCGCGTCTGGCCCACGATAGCCATGCGAATGAGTACTAGTCGATTGCATTTGATCCCATTGTACAGCAGCAGCAGTCGTGGTGCCATACATACCACCCGTATGGCTGGCGACAGGTGCATGGCAATGGCATCAGACATCATGATCGCAGCTTTGGTTCTCTTTTTGTGCAACTTTGGAAAACAGAAGCTGGGCCAGCCTACCTGCCGTTGTCGAAGACCTTGTCCCTGAACACCCTCCACTCCTTCTGCTTCTCGAACCAGGCGTAGGCGTAGACCCGCAGCTGCCGGGAGCCCTTGGGGAACCGCAGCTTCTTGGCGGTTGCGGCGTCCGGTCTGTAATCTCGTCGTAAAAAGTACTGTGTGGTGCAACCGTGCACCCCGGCGCAACGTGCACGCAGGCAAGAGACGGAGAACACGAACGAAAAAAAGACACGAGAAACAAATCAGAATTCAAACCACAGGCCGACTGATTGATGATGATGATGCACATCAGCTTGGTTGTTTGCATGGACTACACACCACAGACGCTTGCCGAACGCCGCAGCTGTAGGTATGCAGTAGTACCTCGTCGTCCAGCGCGTGCTCGGCGTTGATGACGTCCCAGCCGTGCTTAGCGTTGTGGTGCTTGGCGTTGGTCCTGTACGAGCCGCCGTCGTTGAGCTGATCCTCGATGTTGCGAAACACGCGCCGCTTCACGGCGGCGGTGGTAAGCTTGTCCTCGTTCACCACCCAGTAGGACACCCGGTAGTCGCTCTCGTTCCTGAGCTCGAGCTTGGCTCTCGCCCACGCCCGCAGCGGGTTGGAGATGCGGGTGAGCGTGCACGCCTGGGGTGATCCGCGGCGCCAAGTCCGTGATGATCCGCCCGACATGGTCAGATCCGCCGGCTTGCTTGTGTGTGCGTTGCGCCACGAAACAAACGACAAAGATTGCTCCGAGCACCGCGCCGAGGAGGAAAGATCCGAGTCCCGCTTTCGTTTACGCGCAGGTCAGATCGGAAACCCGATTCGCGATCTCCAGCTCTAGTGGTGCTCGCACAACCGTCCACAGAGATTAGTGATGCTAACACTGCTGCCAAGAAGGTGAGGCGCAGAGGAGGGCAGAGTCAGACACGCAAAGAACGTGCTCCCGCACGATCTGAAGATCCGTTTTTTTCTCAACTGAAAGATCCGCATGGGTGCACATCATCATGATACTGTACGCCTTCATTACGTGTTCATGTGGAACAGCACTCCCTCTTCGACCCTTCGACCTTTGTCTATCATCTCTCACTGCTGCCGTCGCGAAACATACGCCTGAGCCCCGGCGGGATACTGAGGTAGTGGAAGGGCCCGAGACAAACCGTCTCTGGAGATTCCCAAGATACACTATATGTACACACATGAACACAGACGGGAGAATACGATAGGATATTTTATAATGGCTCGAGCACTCACTGCATTGAAGTAGTAAGCGGCCCTCTCCCCTCCCATCTGCATCCAATGTGCACACACAAGGCGTGGAAGACATCGTGCAACGCCTCTGAGAGTGAGTCATCTTTCTTAGGCGTCTGGCTGCAATGTCAGAATAAGCACGATAAATAAACTCCGTTCTGTTGTTGAAGTAAAAAACGGTCACGGTGTAAAGCTCCTCAGTAAACCACTTCAAGTAGCTTGAGTATTCCATGTTACAGCGTTCGCTTACGGTCCACAGCGGGACAGTGCCCCACCCAAGTTGTACGTGGTGGGTTGTACTAGTAGTGAGTGTGAAATCGCGTACAGGGAGTGCGAAATTCATCTGCAAGGTAAGTTAATTGAGTGCAGCAGCGGTGCTGGAGACTGGAGACCCTCGGTTGGGTTGTTGGGTCTGCCGCCCACAAACATGAAGGAGAGAACTACTTCCACTAAACTTCCCGGGGGGGAGCCTCCGCCGATCCGAGCGCTTCAGGCAGCGACTACCTTACAACATTAATAGCGAGAGAGATTAGAGAAGGGCAATTAAGAAGACCGTGAACAAAAAGGAATTGGAGTTGAGGGAAAGCCAACAAGGGACAGCGAAAACACAACGCCATCAATTCGGCAGCCGCCAGTGGGAACAAGAGAATCGCAGCCGTATAATCGCTTGAAAGAAAAGAAGCTGGGCTCGCATCAGCAACGAGTAGTCCAGATCTGATGAGAATATCTTCAAGAGAACCTCTGTAAATTGCCCCGAGGTTCATTCTTCGTTTTTTGCGGGGTGAAACGAAATCGTGCGACAGTACTGCTGTACTGTACTTGTACATCCTACTATGTTACCATATGGTAAACTGGGTGCAATGAGACTTTGACCCAAATATACGACTGCCTGCCAAACAATGCATGCGTGCAGCGCTAGCTGAGTATCGATCGGTCTTGAAGGACCTTCTTCGCCTCTCACAAAACAGCCGCTACAATCCGCCTCATCTCATGGCGGTGTCTCTCACGGGAGACACGATCGATGCTTTCATCACTTCGGAAAACCGTCGCATGGCGAAGGAAAGAAAGCAAGAAATCCAACACGAAAGCCTAAGACTACATGCAGAGAAACATACGTAGGCGTTGGCAGCAGGGCCATCGCGAGGACATGCATCCACGCAGACCTTGCGATAAACACCGTCAGCGTGAGTGGAAAGCGGAATCGAAAAATCCGAGGGAAAGTCCTAGTCACAAAGGGGTGGTTAACGTACGCCGCGGGGGCACCACCAGACAAAGCGGAGGGTAGGACACCTGCCCAAAACTTTGGAGGCTACGCACTACTGGTATGTTACGTTACAAGCTATTGTTCTTGCGACACGGTCCTCTCAAGGAAACTGCACCCACGCCCCCAAACTGCCCGACAGCCCCGCTAGATTGCGGCGCGTAACCCACTCTACCCGACTCTTGGATGTTTCTTCTGCCAAGCAAACGTAAAATATGCAATACAAGAACGGTGGGGGGGGGGGAGAGGGGGCGAAAATATTGCAGCGGGCTTCCTGCCGTTTACACCACGCTGGCGAGAGGTTAACGTCCATCTCGTGGAAGCACGGAGAAAGCAAAACTTGCGATCCACAAGAACAGCTCATCGCGACAGCAGTCTCTTGACAGGCACAATCAATTCGGCATATATATATGCATACAAGGAGCGAGCCGCCCCCCCCCCCCCCCCCCCTTCCCGCGTCAAGACCAACGAAAATCTGCAAGCCGCACAAGACAGGCTCACGTTCAACCAAAAAAACAATCGGACCTACAAGGCCCTGGGGCCGAATGAAGACCCATACTACATGTTGCCGTATCTGGTGTCGTTGTTCCTGTACTGGTACTGCTGCTGCTGCTGCTGCTGCTGCTGCTGCTGACCCCGCCCTTGGTTCGGCTGGTACAAAGAAGAGGGGGCGGGGTGGCTGGATAGAGAAGGATACGCGCCGGTTCCCGCTATCCCCGCTGCCGCGCTACTCCTTCCCCCTCCCGCCGCCGCCGCCGCCGCCGCCGCCGCCGCCCCCCCGTACGCTCCTGCAGAGTAAGGCGACGGCCTCGCCCCACCGCCGGTCGCAGCGGCGGCGGCCGCACCCCTGGCGTTGAACGGGTCGTCCCCGGCAACGCCGCCGACGTAGGGCACGGCCTTCGCCTCCGGGAGGGGAGCGGCGGGAGCGGGAGCGGGAGCGTTCCCCCGGTTGTTGTAGCCCCCGTTGTTGTAGTCCCCGCCGCCGCCGCCGTAGCCGTATTGGTTCGACTTTTCGTACGCCGCCCCGCCGTGAGGTACCGCCGGCGCCGGCGCCGCTCCGGGTGCCACTGGAGGCGGTCGGTATGAAGAGGCCACGGCAACGTGGGACTGCTGCGGGGGGGAGGGGCAGTGGACAAGGAGAAGGGTAGTTGTGGAGAGGGCACCGACGAAACGTTCGTTGGGGGGGGGGGGGGGGGGTGGACCCCCGGGGCGCCCCTTTTAAATTTTAAACCAAATCAAGCAAAAAACCCCCAAGAGGGGTCCGCCAAACCCCTTAAAAAAGCCCTCCCCCGAAAATAAGGCTGCCCCCCCCAAAACCAAAGGAAACCTCCTTTTTCTTTTTAAGGGAAACCCCCCCCCCCCCAAAAGGGCCCCCAAAAAAAATTTTTGGCAGGGGCGAAACCCCCGCCCCCCCAACAAAAACCCGGGGGCCAATTTCCCGGGGAACCCCGGGGGCCCGGAAACCCTAAGTTTTTTCCGCGGGGCCCCCTGACAACCAAAAAAAAACGCCCAACCCCCCAAAACAAAAAAAACAACAACCACAACCACCCCCCAAAAGGCCCCCCCCCCCCCCCTTTCCCCCTAAGAGGGGGGGGGGGCCCAAATACCCCTCCCCCCCGGGGGGGCCCCCCCCAAAGCTTTCCCCGGAACCCCCCCCCCCCCCCGGGGGGGGGGG